TCAGAAATTGATAAGGAGTGTTCTTTCTGAAAATTCAAATACAGATGTTTCAAGCAGGGTGAAGCTAAAGTCAAAGAATGTTGCATTATTATCTAAAACAATGTACCAGATATTCTTCATTCATAGCTCATCCAGCTTAGTAAGCTTTTTATCATCTGTATTTGAATTTTCAGAAAGAACACTCCTTATCAATTTCTGAACAAACTTAATAAGATCCAGGCCACAAAAATAAGGGATAAATTATCAAAATCACGTCAACTAATTTTGGCTGCACTTTTCTAGCGTATGATTGTATACTATACCCTTTTAATATTGTCTTTATACATACCTTCATAAGATTGAAGTGGGGGACGTGGCACTTGAAATGCCAGCAATTTCCAGGAAGAAGCCATGGGTTTCAGCTAGCTTTTCACCTATCCATGGCAGAATAAAACCTCATTATTCGAAAGAGTCTTCTTACCTCCATGCCTAAATTTCTGATATTCACTCTTCTTGAGCAAAATTCTTCACTGAGCATGTGCATTAGTAAAGCACACTCTTTGTTTTCTTCTAACTGTCCCTCAAAATTCAGTCAAAGGGCATTTTCTCACTTTCTACAAATTTGAATTCATTTATAGATGGTTGTTATAGACGTGGTTGACTCTTTGATTGCATATATATCCTAAATATAAATAAATATATCCATTCATCTATACAAATTTGCTTCCTATTTTCCCTCCTATTTTCCTCTTATTTACCCATGTGTTTTCTTACCTGAGGTGCCTGCACTCAACATTTGTTCTATTATTTGGTCCAAGTGCTGATACTCTTTGTACTATGACACCAGAACAGTGCCAATAATCAAATGGAATCAGGAGAGGCATGCGATGTCAGGTCAGTGTCTCACTTCCCACACAATGCATTTGTCCTCAAGTCACTTTTACCACCCTCTATCCCAGAACTCAGATATGGTTAACGCTGACAGATTGCATGTCTACAAATCTTCTGTTGGATTAAAACAGTCCTGATGGTATAGTTTTCCGGAGTTCTTTTTCAACCAGCCAAACTGATTTATGGGTTAGTCCCTGATAAAAATATTTAGCTCTTTAGAATGTCAGAGTTGTTCACAATGCTTTTCGGCTTCAATCCCTTTCTGCTTGCTTGCACATTACTGTTTTGCTTCCTTTATTCGTTAACGGGAGGAGGATGTCGCTGGCTAGGTAGCATTTATTGTCCATCCATGATTACCCAGAGGGCAGTTCAGAGTCAACCACGTTGCTGTGGGTCGGGAGTCACATGTAGGCCAGACCAGGTAAGGATAGTAGTTTCCTTCCCTAAAGGACGGTAGTGAACTAGATGGGTTTTTCCCCAACAATCGGCAATGGATTCATGGTCATCATTAGATTCTTAATTCCAGATTTTTAAAAATTGAATTCAAATTCCACCATCTGCTGGGATTAGAACCCAAGTCCCCAGAATGTTATCTAGGTCTCTGGATTAACAGGTCCAACAATAATACCGCTAGGCCATCTACTCCCCCTAAGAACTCCCTTCACCAAGAACTTCTTAAGTTGTTTTTTTCTAACTACAAACTATTGCAGAGACCTTTTTGTTTTTCCCTCACATGAATTTAGTGTTCCAAACTGCGGGTCTGAGATAAGCTGTTATTTTGATATTCCAGTTAGCTGTCTATTTACCCTTTGATTTTTAGCTTTCATTCCCATAGCAAACTCAAGTCACATTGGCATTTCTTAGAACTAAAGCACTTGCTAGAAAGTCAATTACAGCCCTTTCTGAATACTTCCCAGTTTTACTTTGGTTTTAAAGGACCACCGAACAATACGCAGTTTTCTCTAAAGCATGAGTGTTATCACATGAAGGTAAACCACACTGCCAATCAGATCACATCTAAAGCAGATAATGTAACATTTTGGATGGCATATTTCAGAATGATAGAAGTTTTCCTTCTGATATTTCAGAGGTCCAATGGTGATGATGATTCTTACCAAGGAGAATGCTGTTAGAGATTGGAATGAATTGATGGGACCCACGGACCATGAACTGGCAAAGGCATCTTTTCCAAATTCCCTGCGAGCTCAGTTTGACACAAGTATTTTACGAAATGGATTTCATAGTTCCTCCAGTATAAAGCATGCGAGACACTGCATCAAATTATTTTTTGGAGATACAATCCTGGATTCATTTGGAGCTTCTCTAGGTAAATCCATGATATTTCCCAATTTCCAAGTCAAATCTAATGTTTGCATTTTCAATTCAACTCCAAAGCAACGCGTAATCCAATTTCCATACCACGATGCAAGATTTAAGGATGGATTTTCTGAGGAGTGGCTCATACAGATTGCCACTCTGTCCTGTTTTCTTTTTGAAAGGAGGATGGTCCACATTTCTAAGATGAGGTTCCAATCAGGGATCCTTCAGAAATGCAGAGCTGCACTTCCGTTCTGACAGCCCTTTCATGGTGCAGAATTGTCGAGGAAGTTTTACAATCCATCCTTTTTGCAGTAAAGATTAACATTCTTCTTTACTATTTACTTTTTTTACTGCATTCATATGATGTGCGGGTTGCAGGGTGGGCCAGCATTTATTGCACATCACTTGTTATCCATGAAGGTTGTGGTGAAATGCCTTCTTGAACTGCTGTACCATTAGTATAGGTAAATCCACAATGCCATTAGGGAGTAATTCCAGGATTTAGATCCATTGATACTTAAGGAACAGCAATATGTTTCCAAGTCAGGGTGGTGAAAGCTTGGAGGGGACTTGCGTGTAGTGAGTTGCATATAGCTGTTGCACTTGTTCTTCTAGCTGGTATTGGTCATGGGTTTGGAAGGTGCTGTCTAAGGAATTGGTGAATTCCTGCAGTGCATTTTGTAAACTCCTTGTTTGCTATGATCTGCCTGTACCACTTGCAAAACAAAGCTTTTCACTATACTTAAGTACATGTGACTACAATAAATCAAATCAAATCAAATGGTACACACTGTTACTACGGTACATTGGCAGTGGAGATTGTGAATGTTTGTGCATGCAGTGCCATTCAAGCAGGATGCTTTATCCTCAAATCCTCAATGGTGTCTGACTTCTTGAGTGTTGTTGATACTCCACTCTTTCAGGCAAGTGGGGAATATTCGATCACACTCCTGACTTGTGTCTTGTAAATCATGGACAGGCTTTGGAGAGTCAGAAGCTGAGTTACTGCAGAATTTTATTTTATGACCTGATTTTGTAGCCACAGTAATTATATGGCTAGTCCAGTTCAGTTTCTGGTCAATGTTAACCCCAGAATGTTGATAATAGGGAAATCAGCAATGGTAATGCCATTGAATGTCAAATGGAAATGGCTAGATTCTCTCTTGTTAGAGATGGTTATTGAGCCCTTGAGTGACTCAAATGTGACTTGCCATTTGTCAGTTCAAGCCTGGATATTGTCCAGGTGCTGCTTTTGGACATGGACTGCTTCAGTATTTGAGGAGTTACAAATGGAGCTGAATATTGCTCAATCATCAGCAAATATCTCCATTTCTGATTTTATGATGGAGTGAATACCTTGATGAAGCAGCTGAAGATGGTTGGGCTTCAAACAATATTCCAAAGAACTCCTGTGGAAATACCCTGGGGCTGAAATGACAGACCTCCAGCTATCACAAATACCTCTCCTTGTGCCAGGTACGATTCCAAACAGTGAAAGGTTTTCTCCCAATTCCCACTGACTCTAGATTTGCTAGTACTCCTTAATGCCATACTCAGTCAAATGCAGCCTTGATGTCAAGGGCGGTCACTCTCGCCACATCTCTGGAATCAGGAGCTTTGTGATTTATATATACACAGCCCTTTACATGCTCCTGGAATGCATTGATTGACAAATGTCACTTTGAAAAAAAACATTACCGTATGTTCTTACAGTTTCAATTGGCTTTACAGTCTGTAGTAGTAATGGTTTGCTTTGATTGTTGGGACCACTATGAATGTTTGGTTGAGTTTCATAAACTTGTTATTTCAATAAGCGGTTGTGTAGAATGTTTGGTTAACAGTTTTAAGTTATGAAACAATTATTTGTATTTGATGTAGTTGATAAATATTGTTGTAAATGCTGGTTTTTACAATACAATTTTTATTTTAAAGTTTCTGATTTTATTTAAAGTGAAACAGAAATTCCTGAAAGGGGGATGGTAAGTTCATACCAAACCTCTGTTTAGAGATCCATGTGATCTGGTTCTCGTTCTGGTTCTGGTTTGAAACCCAAACTGAAACTTATTGAAAATGAAATGACATTTTCAAACATTGATCCTGAAAAAAAGACATTTTTTTTTAGATGCAGAGACAGTGAAAAACACAAAGGAATTACTGTAGTAGTGGAGAAGTAGCAGCTACTGTGTAAAAAGCAGGATGCTTTTTGTTAAAAAGTATACAAAATGTTTGTAAAAGTTGGTATTCTGTTCAAAAGGAGGGGAACAGAACTGACAGGATTTTCAAAACTTAAAGGGCAAGGATTTACCAAGATGGGTCCTACTAATAGAATGTAGTTCTTTGAATATTCAGACTAAGTAGAATAATTTTCAAAGATCATTGTAGGATTTGACGTGGCATTGTATAGGAAAGTGAATTTGCTAGAAGCTGGGAGTGCCTTGAAACTTAATCTTGTATTGCTGTCAGAAGCATGGCACACAAATAAAGGAATTGAAAGAAAAATGTCAATTGAGTTAATTAGTTAATGTGGAAATATCTTTTCTTTGTATTAGTTTTCTGTGAAATCATGTTTGAGCTTAGTTTGTCACGGTAAAAGTCTTAAAGTATAAAATCTTGTCCTTCAATAATTTCTGTCAGTAGCTTGAAAATACATCATCATAGAATCCCTACAGTGTGGATACAGGTCCTTTGGCCCAACATGTCCACACTGACCCTTGGAGCATCCCACCCAGACCCACATCCCTATAACCCACCTAAATATTCACATCAAAACACTATGGGCAATTTAGCACAGCCAATCACATCTTTGGACTGTAGGAGGAAACTGGAGCACCCAGAGGAAACCCATGCAGACACAGGGAGAACATGCAAACTCCACAGTCACCTGAAGCTGGAATTGAACCTGGGTCCCCGGTGCTGTGAGGCAGCAATGCTAACCACTGAGCCACTGTGCTACCCTGCATCTTTCTAAAAAGTTTTTGGTTTTTATGGGGATTGTATTAATATTTGTTTTTACAATAGTTGGCTAAGTCAGAACAATTTAACTTTTTTGAATGGCTTTCTCATTGATAGTATTTTTTCACCGTTGACTGTTTGATTGAATGCTTTATTAGATTGTTAGAAGTTTAATTTATTCATGTTCTTTACAAAGTGATAGCTTCTGAGGTCTGCCCGTAATAAATACTGGGTGAGTGACTCTGAAGTTGATACATGAGAGGGGCATGGGAGAATCAGAGAACTTGAGAGTTTACGCGGTTTTAGAGAGCGTGTGTAATTTGAATTGAGAATGGAGAATTTGAGGGTATGATATTCATAACTACAACTGGGCTGATCCCCAGTGAATGGAGGCAGACTTTCTGCCTGCTATCCTTGGATTTGCTGATGTCCATTGTCTCTGGACACAGCTGGCCCTAATGCATACCACCCTACCTGCCTGGACCAAAAATGTGATTGGTAGGTACCTTTTAAAGAAGACGAGACTGCCAAGTTCATAAGTTTCTGAACTTGATATTCTCACCTTCTCCCTCAACATGCCTCCTTTTGTGTCCTCCTTACATCTTGTTTATCTAACTATCTTTGTATCATCTGTAAATGCAATATGTTTAGTCACTTCATCCAGATCATTAATATCGATTGTAATTAATTGAGGCCCCAGTACTGATCCTTGTGACAACCTTAAGATGATCCATCTATCCCAGTTCTCTGTTTCCAGTTAGTTAACAAATTCTTTAATCATGTTAGTACATCACCTCTAACTCCATGAGCGCTTATTTTGTTCAGTACCTTCTTGATTGCCTCTCTGAAATTCAAATACACTACATCTTCTGGTTCTCTTTTATTCACCCTGATAGTTACATCTTTAAAGAATTCTAATAATTTTATCAAACTTGGCTTCACACAGCAAGCAATTAACATATAGAATGCACTGCCTGGAAATGTGGTGGAGGCAGGTTCAATTGAAGCATTCAAGAGGGCATTGGATCATTATTTGGACATAAATAGTGGGTAAGGGTATGGGGAGAAGGCAGGGGATGAGAAGTAGCTAATGACACTTGTTTGAAGAGACATTGCAGGCACAGTAGAGTGAATGGCCTCTTTCTGCATTGTAACAATTCTGTGATTCTCTATCACAAAATCATATATTTAGAGCACTGAGGCACTGGGTAACTTTTGAGAATATTGTAGGGAGTTAACTATATGAGAAATGTTCAGAATAAAAGTGTGCTGATTTATCATGCAAAATCCCCCTAAAACGCTAATGGAAAGAGCTTAGTTCCTGCAGTCAAACAACCTCCTAACCTACCCTATTGCAACCCAAAGAAAGTTAGAGCTATTATGTTGTAATCCAACATATGGAAAACAAGGCAGTGGGGACATGATAGGAAGACCATAAGAAGTTGCAAAAATGAACAAGGAAACTTTTTTTAAAAGATATACACATACAAAAATTACTTCTCCCCAACCTTGCTTCTAAACTTTCCTGCCTTAATTCAACATTAGTGTAAATGAACGGCTAAGAGTATTCATCGATGTTATGCAGTGTTTTCTGCAACGGTTTAATCCCAACATTGAAAATTTACACCTGGTAAATATTCTGTAAGCACAAAAATGAATCATAAATCTCACTGGATTTGCTGGAACCCTGTAACTTTCCAATATATTTTAAGTAAAAATGCATAACTATTTCAACTCAAGAAATAAGTCAAGTAGTTAAGATAGATATTTAGCTATGTAAAAGTGAAGAAAACAGTTCAAAAACTACTTTGTGATAAATAAATCAAGCTAGCAATGAATTGTACCAAATAAAATGTAAATATTTCAAATTCCAAATGTAATCATTAGTTTACTTACCTTTACAGAGGAGGAGCTGCCTGCTTCAGAATCTCCAAGTCCTGCAGCGAGTGCTACTGCTGTCGAATCTTCTGACTTCGTGGATGTAGAAGCTCCCAAAGATGAACAAGAAGTAACTACTTCTGATACTACCCTGGCACCTGGGGCCGAAATTGTACCTTCTGGTGAACCCCCTGATGCCAGCACTGAAGGTGTATCTTCTCCAGGTGAAGCCTCCGGTGCTGGCATTGAAGGTATAATTGTTCCTGATGATAGCTCTGGTCCTGGCATTGAAGATATGCCAGTCCCTGGTGAAATCCCTGATGCTAGCACCCAAGAAATAACTGCTCCCTCTGATGTTCCTGAATCTGGCATTGAAGATGTACCTGCTCCTGTTGAAGTTGCTGGTGCCAGCTCTGAAGAAGTCCCTGCTCCTGGTGAAGCCCCTGATGTCAGCACTGAAGATGTACCTGTACCGGAGGAAGCCCCTGATGCCAGCGCTGAAGATGTACCTGCACCGGAGGAAGCCCCTGATGCTAGTGTTGAAGATGCACCTGCACCAGAGGAAGCTCCTGATGCCAGTGCTGAAGATGTACCTGCACCAGAGGAAGCCCCTGATGCCAGTGCTGA